TCAGTCAGTCAGTCAGTCAGTCAGTCAGTCATTCAGTCAGTCAGTCATTCAGTCAGTCAGTCAGTCATTCAGTCAGTCAGTCAGTCAGTCAGTCATTCAGTCAGTCCGTCAGTCATTCAGTCAGTCAGTCAGTCAGTCAGTCAGTCATTCAGTGAGTCAGTCATTCAGTCAGTCATTCAGTCAGTCAGTCAGTCAGTCAGTCATTCAGTCAGTCCGTCAGTCATTCAGTCAGTCAGTCAGTCAGTCAGTCAGTCATTCAGTGAGTCAGTCATTCAGTCAGTCATTCAGTCAGTCAGTCAGTCAGTCAGTCATTCAGTCAGTCCGTCAGTCATTCAGTCAGTCAGTCAGTCAGTCAGTTATTCAGTCAGTCAGTCAGTCAGTGAGAGAGACGAGAGACAGAGGCGGGGAGAGGGAGACACAGACAGACAGAGAGCGTGTTTTCTTGTCTTTGTTTGTTTGTATTGTATTAAATATATTAATCAGTAGTTTCACTAGCAACCTTTGTGGCTTCCTTTGTTGTTGATTTATGGGATCCCATGAAAATGGGTTCCCACTCCACTAATGAGCAATCTGATGAGGCAGAGACAGAGGCGGGGAGAGGGAGACACACAGAGAGGGAGACACACAGAGAGGGAGAGGGAGACAGACAGAGAGTGTTTTCTTGTGTTTGAAAAATTTGCAAATTACAGTTCCCACTTAACTCGTTTTAAACCTTCACGTGTCCGCCAAGAAAACCTATTCGCAGTATCAAATCTCTGTGCGTTAATGCTTTAAAAAAAGAAGAGGAAAGTCTTCCTCACTTGAATTTTTTATTTGCGTTTTCACCAGGCGAGTGTATCGTGTCGAAAGAGCTGTTGGAGAGCTGTGGGATGTGTACAGAGAAAGGGCATGAGACCAAACCTCTGAATCACTATTGTAAGAATTGTAAAGTTTCCATTTGCGACACGTGTGGGGAGACTCGTCACACTCAGCACACCAAGGTAAATATCCAACAGGCCGCCGAGGAAGAGAAGCTGAAAATGAAAGAGACTGTAGAACAAATGAATATGCAAATTTCTGAGCTCGAGACACAAATCGCAAAAACAAAAAATGCTTTTGCAATAAGCAAACGAAAAATTTCTGCAGCTCGAAATAGTGTACGAACAACTGTTGAAGAACTCGTCCGTGTTTTAAAAGAGCACGAGAAGTCCACTGTGGCCAAATTGGATGTTATTGAAGAAGCACAACAAAGAGATTATAAAATAGAAGTGGAACGTTTCGAAGCATCTGTAAACGAATGAAAGCGTTTTGTGAGAAATTGCAATGAAATTTTACGAAGAGACACCACCGTCGAGACTCTACAATTGCAACAGGCGGAAATCGAAAGGTCTAAAGGTGTTCTGAGAGCAACAAAAATGGACATTTATAAGCCTTGCCATGTTCTCTATCTTAAAGACACGAATTACGTTAAGAACTTGACATGTGCAGATCCGGGTAAAGTCCTCGTAAGTAACACTGATCCACAAAGTTCATATGTGAAAGGTTATGCGGACTTAACAACAGCTGAAGCTGGATGTACAAAGATGTTTGACATCAATACAATGGATTCAGATGGAAAACAGTGTTACCATAAAATCGATAAGATTAAAGTGGAAGTTCGGGGTGCGGCAGAGAGGGATCTCGCCAACAAGATTGATGACTGGATGTCACGTGGGACATACAGGATCAGATACACACCAGATCGCGATGGAGAGCATGAGGTAACAGTTTTTGTTAACGATCAACCTCTTCCTTGTAGCCCATGGAGGGTAGATGTGGCTCCACACCGGTATAGATTCTCCTGTAATTTCCAGCTAAGTAAAAAAGGACAATTCAGAGAACCTTACGCTATTGCAATAGACAGTAAGACAGGGAATTTGGCAGTAGCAGATCGAAAGAAACAAAGACTGCGACTATTTAGCACATGGGGGGACCACATAGCTGACTTTGGTCTAAATGGATCAGAACTAATAGATCCCACCTCAGTTGCATTCAACCATTCTAGTGACGTGCTGGTCACTGCTTCTGGTTCTATACATTGTTTTAATGTCAGTGGTAAATTCAAGGAGTGCATCAACAACAAAGATCTTAAGTTCCCATTTTCGTTGACTTTTGCTTGTGATGGTCGCATGGTGGTGTGTGACACAGGTGACAAGTCTGTCAAGGTTCTCTCCCCAGATGGGACAGAATTGTTACATTCCTTTAGTGTACCGGACAGTGATGACTCTCCATGGGAAGCTGTTTTTCATCAAGACATGTTTTTCGTATCTTACCCTACAGCTGGTTGTGTTAAAACATTTAATAAGGACGGTGATTTTCTATATAATATCGGCATTGAAAATTCAGATGAAGGACAACTGAGTAAGCCTCGTGGACTCGTTGTTGATGCCTATAACAACCTGGTGGTTTGTGACGAAGAAAACAAAACGTTGAAGGTATTCAAACTGGATGGAACATTTTTAAACGTGGCTGGCAACAGAAATTTGGACTGTCCCTGGTGTATTGCAGTCAGCCCAAATATTCGATGGCCATGGCTTTTCATTGCTGATCTCAACAAGAAAACCGTCGTAACCTTTGAGTAACTGCCAACCGGAAGCTTTAAAGGCCAAAAAGTAGTTTTTGTTGGCTTCGAGAATCTCTACAGTTGGTTTTTCTGATACAAAATTTATAATCCACACCTTTTTTCTCTTCTGACCTCAGCCAAAGCCCTTTTCAACACTGATTTGATCCGAGCAAAAGACGAAAAGGCTTTCTCCGCACTGGCAGGCCACTCTTTCATCGGCATGGGAAAGTCCGATTTGTTTTCACAAATGCCTTTTTCGTAAAATACAATTTAAAAAAGTTAGGTAACCGTGCATGTTTAAGAGATATGATGGGCCAAACTTATCCCATCTATGTCTGTACTGGCCCTATTCACGCGCGTTATTTTGTCGTTTTACGGTACATTTTACGGTAGTTGGAAGCTAGGGTTTTTAAAGTAACAATTAAAAAATACTTGATAGATAGAAGTCTTGAGCGTATGAAACAGTTTCACACATAATTTGTAGAAAAATCACGAAATTTTTAAACGACATCGGCTCAAACTGTTCCTCGAGTCGTTGCTTCCAAGGTTATAATTTGCATCATCGAGTAACGGGCTTAGTGAACGCTTTTAGTCATCATGATCTTTTTCCCCTTTGATGACCCTTTATTTTTTTAATTTACCCAATTTTAAAGGGGTAATTTGGTCCCTGTTCGCACTACACTGTTTTTGCAATAGCGTTCGCACTTGAGACGTGCGAATTATTTGGGTAACCACAAACGTCAAGCAATCGAAAAAGATACCGACATTTCGTGACAGTGCGTTTTCTTTTATGACATTTCTGGTCAAGGACTGATCGCAAAGCAAAATGCTCCCGGGAAATGTTTTAATCGCCCTTCTTTGCTGTTTGCTTGCCATGCAAAACCTGATTGTGGCTTGTCAACAATTACTTTTGGTTTTGTTGGGAAGGATTCGGCTTTTACCAATCATGGAGACTAACTCAGTCGCTCAACAAACGTCGACGCCACCGTCGACCTGTAGAATCCTGGTATGAAATCGTAACTTCCTTTCAGCCTTTTTTCCTTAGACATTTGAGAATGGGGAGAGGGAGTCATTCGACAACTTACTAACGCCAGTTGAGGGGTATCTGTCGAGTGACAATAGATTTTCTCGCCCCTCAAAAAATTGTAGGCCTCCAAAAGTAGTTGACGGCCGGCATCTTTGAAGTTTGGTGGCTCTTGCGAAAATTTTTGGTGGGTCAAAAAAATCGTTCGCACCGAAAATGGTTTCGCGTTGACAGATTTTTTTGCAAAACAAACAAAATTTCGCTTAGTGCGAACAGGCCCTTATTCACCAAAACTATGCAATAAATAATATAGATCACTGAGCTCGTTTAAGAGCTACGGACCATCGTACCTTTTTACCTGGTCCATTGACTGAAAAACAGTACCATGTTCTCGGAATGTACGCGCGCTTATTCGCCTGATTAAGTGATTTTTATACGCAGCACAGAATGCGCAGTACAATACTGAGGAATCACCTTAACTGTCCTATTACACTGAAGTACACTGTCCAATTACAAGCACGACGCGTACACCATCTTATTAGTGCTCAAATCGGGCTGGTGATGACCAATCACGTTGGAGAATTTTGTTATAGTTCTGCTGAAAAATTATTTTCTTATCTCAAAAGCGTTGATCTTATGAAAACTTATTCCCATTTGATATGCCCCACTATTTTATTTGAAATGAAAAGTTTTGACTTATTCATGGGAAGCCGTTGTTATTTTGAAAACATTACTTGCTTTTGGATTTCAGTTTCTATCAAATGTTATAAACAAGGCAACTTTTGCTTTCAAAAGAGAAGCAAACGTGCGATTACTGATTTGCTACGAGTGTCATTCGACCCATTCGCACTTCCTGTCAGACTCTATTTATGAGTTCCCGTTGAGTCAGCCCGTTCTTTCTCCGAATTGCTCCAACTGATCGACGGATATCCAACTTTCGCTGTTCAGGAATCTTTTGTCAAACTTTGGACATCTAAGGTTTGTCTTACGACTAGTGCGCTCACCGAAAAACGGATCTAGCAGACTATACCGGTCTCTTTACAAAAAGAATTGCTTTATTGATTAGAAACCTCCGCCGGATCAGTTTATTTCATACTTGTTTCTGCTATTCCTATTCGACTCTGTAAACTGAATAATATTTAGAGTAAACTCTCAAAAGTGAGCGGTATAGTCTATCAGTTCCGTCAATAAGTAGCCTCCTTAGGATTTAGCTAGAGTAGCACTCGAAACGATTCTTTTACAGTCGTTCGTGTGTCGCAACGGAATTGAACGAAAGTTATTAATACCGTAGCGCATCAAAGCTAATATTCGACAACAACTGCATTTTTCAAGTTTTTCTTATTCAACCTGCGGCACTCACAACTCGGTAAAGACAACCTGTTGGCATGTTGATCGATCAGTTCGTGTAGCGTGTTCAACATTTTATTATAACTTCGCCAAGTGCAAATGTAAAGTGTGCACGTCAAGCATTTCGTTTCACGCCGCCTGATTCCTGCTACAGTGTTTTAAAGGAGCCAGTTAATGGCGTGCCAACTGTCTTCGAGTTTGACACATGATGCAATCCAAGTTAACTCTTTTATAGTGTTTAACATACAATAATATTGAGGATGAAGTTGATGGAGTAGTCTTAAAAAAATAACAACTTCCTAATTCCAGCAACATTAAACTTTTCAGTCTTTGTCTATGATCATTTTCTTTTTCGTTTGGCACGAATTGTGATAACAACGTACACGTGCCTTACACATCATTTTCTTTCACGAGAACTTTTGATAAAATCAACTTTAAAAAACTCCACATAATCAGTATGCCATATAATTAAATCTTGCCAAAGACCTCAAATTAAAGAATAGATATTAAATGAATCCACTTGATAGTTTTCAATCAGTTTTTGATCGAAAGAGTCAAAGATAAGCCCAAGCAAAAAGATCTTTAATGATGCAAACACGATCGATCGTCAAGAACAGCACTTTCCTTTTTAGTTTTCACCCAATGACTCTCGTTTGCTCGCATTTCCGCCCAATAATTAGAATGTGGGGACTTCTCTTTCGCTCGAATTAAGAAAAATGTTGTACTAGTTTTGCTTGTTACAAGATCTCAGGGGAAAAGCTGAACAAACCAAGCTTGCATAAGGTTTTGCACTGAACTCAAGATTGGAGGAAAATTGAACAACATGACAATCCCTTCAAAGAGTGATTGACGTAAGGAAATCCTTACCCATCCCTTTCCCCTATCAATTCTGTTCTTCGAAGTACAACGGGAGCTTCAACCTAAGCCAAGCCTCTAAGCTGGGCATAAGACAGAAAGAATCCAAATTAATTTTAGGTGTTGAAAGTAACACCGAAGCTTAATAAGATGATGACGTGCACTTCTTAAGTAGACACAGCAAATCATGGCGCTAGCCCCAACATTTTGGCTATAAACGGTTATCGCAAAATCTTAATCACTACATGTGCCATCTCTCAGTATCTTCACCTGTATTATGGCAGGTACACATTTATGGTCAAAGTTATCAGATTCTCAAATGGTGAATTAAACGCAACGATTAACAAAAACAATCGGATAAAAAAAATATCAAGCGGATTTCATTTAAAAACAGAATCAGCGAAAGCTAGAAAGAGGGTCAATTAATTGGGTTAACCGTTAAAGTTAGCCATAAAACAGCCAAAAAATAAGCCGCTAGGCGTAAAATTTACAAATTTTGACCGTGAGCCGTAAAAAAAAGTTAAATGTAAAATAAATATCTGGTGACAACAATGGAAAGCTATTAACCGTTAGCCGTAAATTGGCCAAACTTTTAAACGTTAGCCGTAAAAGCTACATCACCCCATTGAGATCCTCTAAAAATTGGCGCTATTTGAACTTTCTGAAGACCATCACCTTTTAGTTGATTTTTTTTTTTTTTATAAATACTCTTGATGATGATCCGCTAAGCAGGAAGAGCCAGGCTACTTGGAACTTATCCAAAGGCATAAACGAGTGTACTCGAATTGTACATTGTCAAGAATAGCTCATCAAATATCATCGCAGTATGATGTTAAATCGTTAATACCAAATGCAATGTGTTCGAGAAAAAAAAAAAAAAAAGCACTTCAAAGATACGATCTCACTGACGGGGTACCTAGGTGTAAAAGTAAGAGGAATTGCGAAGACCTTTGTTTGTGATGTTTATTTTAGATGAAAAATTTTATCAAAAACTTCCTCTACGTTGGCAGAAAGTGCAAGGTAGTGATTTCATTTTCATCTGTTATTAAAATCATGTGAATAATACGTCGGACAGTTTGTTGCGCTTTGTTTTTGTTTTGCTCAATTTTGAAAATATATTTGAATTCAGCCTCAAATACTGTCGATGATTTAATTAGATTTAGTAAGACCTCAGGCCAATAATCCCCAGTACGGCCCTTGTACTTCAGTTAATGAGAAGTTACTCATCATCGATAATAATAATTAGCAAGTAGAAATCCATGTCAATCAATTAAGGCAGCCAAGCATGCGTGGGCGCTCTTGCCGATAAAGAAACTAAATTTAGTTCGCATGGCAATTTCATTTTCAAAGTGATATCCTTATCTTACCTATCCATAGCTACCGATTATATTTCTGAAATCTTTGTCTAAATCTGGCTTTGTTCTCCTTGTAGCAACTTTTCCTCATGGCTTGTACAACACCTCAAACTTCATCCACCAAGGAATCAACCAACTATGCGCGCTTGTGTCATTTACTGGTGGATATTGGAAACCAGGCCCTCCGAGATCAATTCAATGTTATCCATCACCCAGGAAAGCTTCACGAAGTTTTGGCGAAAAACAAATCAGTGCTGGAGGATCTGAAAAAGAAAAAAATTTTATATCTAGCTCAATGGGATAAGCTGTTTCCTTCTGACCCTAAATCAGTATCGTCAGAAACTTTTGATATTTCACTTTTAGCTGTTCTATTTCGAAATATCTGCGGCTTAACTCAACCCTCGAATGGATGGGACAACCTTCCTCCCGAATCAGACACAAGCCCTGCAGCAGATATAGCTCGGGTGAAATATTACAGAAACACCGTGTACGCTCATGCTGAGCGTACTTCTGTTGATGAAGCGGACTTCAACCAATACTGGTCTGACATCCGGGACGCTCTTGTGAGACTGGGTGGACCGAAATACAAAGCAGACATTGACAATCTTAAAACTAAGTGTATGGACCCTGAAGTTGAAGATCATTACAAAAAACTTCTCAGTCAGTGGATGAAAGATGAAGAAAACGTGAAGGATCAACTGAATGAGATTGGCAGCGAAGTGAAGAATGTCGTCAAACGGCTGGATGATTTGTCTAAAAGGGAAAGTTAGTACAGTTTGAGTTTTAATTTATTCCTCGTAATCCGTCGCAATTCACATGACGTAAATGACCAACAGCGAAAAAATGTCATAGAGAAACAATAAAACTAACTATTTACTCATCATATCTTCATTCAAGTAAGCTTTATCGGTACATATCGTTACTGGATCGGGGTAAATGCACTCCTTTTCTCCCAGTAGGGAACGCCAGAAAACCCTACATTGTTGGCCTACTCTTCAAAAAAGAGATGTTGCTAGTTGCGTTGGTTGATTTCCGTCAGATGTTAAGCATTTATATTTTTCTAACCTTGTAAATCTTATCAACTTATGACAAAGTTTTTCTTTAATTCATCGTCAATTTCGCTATAGCCGAATTGGTTTAAAAATCTGCTTGTAGAATTTGCCTCGATTCTGTTTATCTTGAGCGTACGCGGAAAAAAAACACTCGCAGCTTTGTAACATTTCAAAACAACTATTAGAAACGCTAAACTTTAAACTGGATAAGCTTATCGAAAGGGTGAATGGATTAACTCAAAGACTTTTTCACGATAGTAAATGCCTCGTACTTGATAACCGAGTTCGAGGTTCATACTCGAAGTTACGGGCCGATTACTTTTCCTCCCCAAACATTTTACAAGCTAAAAAGAAAACAAAACCCCTCCCACAGTAACTTTTTATCAGATATTGATAGTACTACACCAGCTTTTAATGTAAGTGCTAATGTCTTTATCACATGCAAACAGATTTTTGCAGCAATTCTTAACATTTCTGAGAGGAGATATAAGTATAATATATAAATCCTTCACTGAAGCCAATCAATCATATCTTGAGTTTGAAAATTTTGGATAAGGACCTGTAGCCGAAATCTGGGCTTTATTTTTGTATTCATTTTCATATTTAGAACCCGTCGAGCCACCACCTCTTGATCACTACTGTAAGGACTGCAAGGTTTGCATTTCTTCTAAGGAGATGCAAAGTAAACACACTGATCACATCATAGAGAATAAACGACAGGCTGCAAAGAAGCAAAAGCCTATGATAAAAGAAGCTTTGAGGAAAATGGAAGAAAAAATTCGCGATTGTAAGAGCAACATAGAGGAGGAAGAGGAGCAGTTGAAACGATGTCAAAGAGACATTGGAACAACCCGAGAAACTGTAAAGAAGACTGTTGAACCTCTCATACATACACTACAGGATCACAAGAAGGATATGGAGAACAGTTTGAAATATATAGAAGAAGAAGCAGAACGCGTTAGCAAAAAACGCAGACAGTTGTTATCGGAGTACCACGAGAGGTTAAAGAGCAAAGCAGAAGAATTGCAAGCTACCTTAAACGGAAACAATGATGATGACATTTTAGAGACTTGTGAAAATGTTAATGAATACTACAAAGATCTCTGCGATTATGAAAAAAGTCATCACTACGAACCGGCACCGAATGTCAGGTACGAGAAGAACGAAGAAGAGATTCAACGCATTAAACACGCAACACTGGGCCGAGTCGTCACTGGCAACGATTCAACGACTTTCTACTCAATGGCAGAGGGACAAGGTCTGCAAGAGGCAGAAGTCAGAAGAGAATCTTACCTTGAAATCCTGACTCAGAGTTTAGATAAAAAGCAGGTTTACAACGCAGACGATAAGATAACAGTGAAAATCCAGACTCCACTTGGAGAGGACCTGTCCACTAACATTGAAAACAGTGAAAATGGTTCGTACACCGTGTCCTATACACCTAATTGTGACGGACAACATGAAGTATCGATCGCTGTCAATGGCAAACCCCTTCCGGATAGTCCCTGGCGTGTTCACGTGACTCCGCATCAATACAAAATTATGTCACAATCAGCTTTCGGGTCAGCTGGTAAAGCCAAAGGAGAATTTGATGGACCCTGTGACATTGCAATCAACGAACAGACAGGAGAAGTAGCCGTTGCTGATGGCAAGAACAACAGAGTACAACTGTTCAGTCCCGATGGAGAGTACACCAAAGAGATTAGTAAATCTGGCTGTGGTAGAAAGGAACTCAATTCCCCCACTTCCGTTGGATTTACCAAGTCTGGTGATATCGTCATCATCGCTAGCGCCGAGATTTATTTGTTCCACAAAAATGATGACAGTCTTACAAAAGTTTCCCAAAAACACGCAAAAGATCCAAGATTCTTGTCTGTCAGCGGTGATGGGAATCTAATCGTGTGTGACTGGAGCGATAACAAAGTACATGTCCTCTCCCCTGACGGTACAAAACCGGTGATAATGCCCTTCAAAGATCTTCAGGTGAATGATCCCCCATGGTTCGCTGTTAACCACCAAGAGATGTTCTTCGTTTGTTACGGCTTGAATCACGTGGTCAAAGTGTTCAACAAGGATGGAGTGTTTAAGTACAGCATTGGTGGCATGGGCTCTGGTGACGGACAAATGAGTTATCCCACGGGAATAACCATTGATAAGTTCCACAACTTGATCGTGTGTGACCCCAGTAACCACAGGCTGCTCGTGTTCACACTGGATGGAAAGTTTGTCAACTCAGTAGATGGACCGGACTGCCCAGGAACAGTAGCTGCATCATCGACTGGGCAGCTTTTTGTAACAGACTTTACCCAAAACTGTATTCATGTCTTACAGTGAAGGACAAGGTAAATTTGAGAGACGATAATCTTGTAGAAAAAGTGACTCACAACCGTTTTATTGGCCCATAATTGTCGAGGGATAAAGCCGCCTCCACAAGTCAACTTTCAAAGCCAATTAAAAGAAATCGAGACTAGCCCGTTGTCAATTGCCAGACAGCTAGTACATAGGCAGGATCACAATAATAAAGGAAAGTATTCGTGAAAGACCTTTGATTCATGCATAAAGTGTTTATGTTTTTATCCTTTTATCGAGACTGTTTGCTTTCCTTAAGCGGTGGTCGGCGGGCTAACCCTCCTTTTAGACCTTCGTTTGGCTTATTTCGCTCACTGTCAATTCAGTGAATTAATGACGGCAATGTTTTAATAGGCTTTATTTCCTCGTATATTTGCTTGTATTTGGCAGCTGATTCCTACAGCTTTACCGCTCTGCGTGAGAAACAATTGAAAAAATAGACAGATGAACAGATAGAACTTAAAACTGTTATTGAAAGGTCTTAAAACCTTAAAATACATACAAGGTTGGTCGAGTAGGTCAACTCTGAAGATGTATAAAAATAATTCAAGAAGTAACAGAGATAGTAAATGATGGGCCGGAGAGCAAAACAGATTGCGCACGACTAACTATCTGAAAAGTCTAAGCATAGTATTTCAAAATTGATAAACCGGGATCTATATTCATTGGGCCTGGGTAAGAACAGCGGTCTGTTCAGAACAGCGGTCAGTTACTAACAATATGAAAAAGAAAACTGACTTCCCTTTGAATGTAGACCTGATGATGCCACCGTAAATGCAAGCTTCTGGATCAATCAAATTCGAAAGTCCGTATAAGGAAATATATTCTATGGTAGACTTTTGATGAAGGTCTTTGATATATATTCGATTTTAGACGACAGTAAATGGGAGAGAAAAAAACTGAAAACGAGTATTCGTTTAGCTGTGAAATTTTTTCGGTATTGATCAGCTTTTAGCAGCTGTTAAGGGAATAGTATTAATTGGGTAGTGCTATATTATCTTTGCAAGAACTGGCCGCTTGGCAAATCAAAGGAACCATATCTTAGCGGATCTAACCAACAGAATTTATAGAAATTCAATCAAATGTACAAAGATTGATTGTAAACTTCGAGTAATCTTTTCTTTTTTTTTTTACGTTTTCTTGGGATGCTGTAAGGTATAATTTAAATAGGTAATATTTTAAAATATCTCAAGATATTAATAGAAGAAGGTTAAACTTACACAGCGAATTTTGTCTTGAATTCTTGTACTCTTAACGGGAGGGGATTGAGTTGGCTGCTTTTGGCAGATTAGCTCATCCCGGGGCAAGCGATGAACGAGGAAAGGATAAAAGTGTAAACGTGATCAGCTGTTACTGATAAGAAATTCTCATGCCAAGTTATCCAAATAGTGTAATTGTTAAATCGAAGTGCATGAAATATTTTTGCAAAAGGTTAACAGACCGGTTGTTAGGTCTGTATTTCCAAAGGATCGGCCTCGTCTGTTGCAAATATCATAGAATATCTTTGTACTGATTTGCGCAGGTTACGTTTCGTGACGAGCTTCGTGACCTTGGGAAGACTTGGACCATTTTAGAGCATGTCTTTGAGAGTCTGGGAACGAAACAAAATATGACCCTTGAGTAACGTGGATGTTCTTTCGATTTCGTTACTATCAGTTCAATAAGTCCTTAAGAATGGCGGGTTGATCATCTCATAGTTTCTTTGATTCGTTTGCTAGATTTCCTGAGATCGCAGGTGTGTACTTCAATTTGTTTTTACGTAGATATAAGGTTTTCTATTCTCCTTATCCAAAACAGCTGTGAGTAGTGCTAAGAGTGATAACTTCAATTCCTTTAGATTTAGTCGCACATCTGTCGCCTTACGTAAACGGTTTAGCTTATATTTCCCTTTTGTCTTTTTAAATCAAACAGCGACCTTAGCTGTACCCCTTTAACTTAATCGGAAATCATTAGAAATGCCTGACGAGTGCTTTTAACCTTCACTGAGGTATCTCGAGCAACGAGAAAGCTTAGTTTACTCGTCGCTTCAGCCAAATATTTAGTGGCTTTGACCTACACCTCATTTCGACCTCGTCTACAGTTACACTTAGACCAAAAACCTTTGTTATGGTCGTTACCAAATTCAAACCTTGAGTTCTCAGAGAAACTGGCAATCACTGCTGGCGATGAACGATGAGCCAAATGCCCCAACGGTTGATTAACCTTATAGAGAAATCATACTTCCGGTTCGTTGTGTTACACATGGTCTACGGACGTCTACTTTTTCAGAGCGGGGTAAAGCTTAAAAGTGGGCATGTGGGCAGAAAGAGGCTGGAATTTTGTAAGGCTTTTTTCTTTTTTTTTTCTCACTGTTAGGAGGCTATTTTTGGTCCACACTGACAAAAATGTAGTGCAAACATCTGGTACTATGCAACTAAACACATCTGTGCTCTGACTGCTCAAATGAGAGGTCATGCGTACACAGAAAAAAATTGTACTTTTCCAAACACGACAGCTTTCTCGGCCACCATTTTAATGTGTGTCGCGCAACTTAAGCTCAAAAACTACACATTTACAAACGAAAACAGTTATCACGCTGAAAAATTTCCTTTAGGTCTATTTTCATGTGGTTGTTTGTTCTATCATTATACATTTTGGAATGGATTTTGTGACACTATGCAAAAGCCAAGAATAATAACAAAGCCACTGTGCCAGACAGTTGCAAGAGGAATGTTGCTTATACCAATTTCACAGAGTGGAGAAGTAAAACCAAAACAATCCCAACTTATGTATGAAACAGAAAAAAAAATATCATTGAATGTAATCTCTTCGATAAGGTGCACACAAATAGATTTGATACGATACAAAGCTTACTTTTCCGCTTGATACCCATCGAAATCATCAGTTTTGACTGCACCCATAAATCATCACCTTTGAAGTGAGCCTTTTCTGATCGAAAGAAGTGATACGTGTGCTATATTCTAAATATTTACTAATCCAGTTCTATTATTTTTATCCAGCCGGTTCTTCTCATGGCCACCGCAGCACCGACAGTTTCATCCACTAAGGAGACTACTAACTACGCCCGCTTGTGTCGTCTGCTGGTTGATGCTGGTACCCAGGCCCTCCGAGACATATTCGATGCCATCCATCCCCCTGCCAATCTTCACACAGTTTTAACGGGCAACAAAACCAAGTTACAGTCACTGAGAACAAGAAAGATTATAAACGCAACGCAATGGGGAAAGCTTTTTCCTGTTATTCCATCCTCAGTGTCTTCAAGAGACTTTGATATCACGCTTTTGATGGTTCTGCTTCGAAACATTTGCTGCTTATCTTCTCCCGTAGGAGGCTGGGATACACTCCCTGCTGTAACAGATGTGAGTCGTGAAGCTGATATCGCTCGTGTTAAATATTACAGAAATAATGTGTACGGTCATGCTGAGTGTGCCTCAGTTGATGCTTCGACTTTCAATGCATGCTGGAGTGACATCCGGGACACTCTGGTGAGATTGGGTGGAGCTAAATACAAGGCAGCCATTGACAATCTTGAAGTTGAGTGCATGGACCCTGAAGTTGAGGAACATTACAAAAAACTTCTCAGCCAGTGGAAAAAAGATGAAGACAACTTGAAAGATAAATTGGATGAAATCGGAAGCGGGATTGAAACAGTCATGAAGAAGCTGGATGATTTAAAATCACCGACCTTAACTCCAAAGATGCAACTGGATAACGAAGGTTTGTTTTCATTCCTGTTTTTTTTTTTAATTTACTCGCAAGAAGAGAGTGATGGACTGAAACTGTCGTAAACCGAAAGTACGAGTAGCCAAGTGGGATTAAGTTTGCGACCAATCAGTTGGATAGGGTGGAACCAGTAGAAAAGTAATAAAGACCTGAATTACCTGTAACACCCAATGGAAAACTGCATTGATTCTGATGATCTGGTCCACTGTTTACTCAGTCTAATAATCACAAACTTGGATGCAAACATAATCGCATCTCCTTAATGTAAGATTTTCATTTGCTAGACTTTTCCATCGTTGTTGAGACTTGTGAAGTGACCCTGAAATCGCAGATCTATTTTCAGTGACATTCGTAGTAACCATAGCCATTTGTTTGTTTTAGGAATGAAAGAGTTAAAGGTGGAAGAAGCCGGGGGGACAAACAGACCCGGTTTTTGTGAAGAAAGATATCACGAGAACGAACCACTTCAATTTTACTGTCGAGAATGTGAGATCTGTATTTGTCACCGGAGCAAACTTATTCCTCATTTTAATCACACCAGCGTTAAAATACAACAAGTCGCTGAGGAACAAAAGGCCCAGATGTTCGATGTTCTCCATTGCCTAAAAACAGAGATTGGCGTCTGTGAAAACCGAACGAAAAGGTTGTCCGACTTGTGGAACATCGTACGACACGACATCTCAACAGCACGCATCTGCGTGCAAAAGACTGCAGAAGACGTTATTCGGGTTGTAAGGGAACACGAAAAGGCTGTATTGGAAGACTTAGATAAGATTGAGGAAGAACAAGACAAAAGTCATGCTTTACAGCAAGAACGCTATCAACTGTTCAGCGCTCAGCTTAAAGGCAATGCAGAACACTGCGAAAACATTTTGAGGAGAAACAACAGTATAGAAATTCTTCAAACACATCAGACTGTTGTGGAACGTTGTAAAAGTCTTCTAAACACTCATTTGAACGTCTGTATGCCATCCCACGTTAGTTATTTGTCAAACGATGAAGCTGTTCAGAAAATCATGCAAACGATTCTAGGACAAGTTATCGTTAGTTCTGCGAATTCTTTGAAGTCGGTGGCCGAAGGAATTGGTTTAGAATGCGCAGAGGTTGGTAGAAAAGGCGATTTTGCGATAACAACGAAAGATTTTGAAGGGAAGGTGTGTTATTACAAGAATGACGCAGTTACTGTTAATATCAAGACACCGTTAGGGGAAGACTTAGACAAGATAATCACCAACAAGCAAGACGGTAAATATATTGTGACTTTCACGCCAACTTGTACCGGGAAACACCACGTGACGATAGCGGTGAACAGTCAGCCGCTGACTGGTAGTCCCTGGGGTGTTCAAGTATATCCTCACCGATACAGACACGTGTTAAAATTCGGCTCAAGCGGAAAAGGTCAAGGTCAAATTGACGATCCCTTTGATATTGCAGTGTGTGATAAGACAGGAAAAATTGCAGTTGCAGACTGTCAAAATAACAGAATTCAACTTTTTACCTCAGATGGCCAGTTTTTGAGTGAATTTGGTCAGAAAAGATTCCACGAACCGTTCTCTGTCGCATTTACCAGGTATGGTGAAGTGGCCGTTGTGCATTCAGGTCAGATTTCTATGTTCTCTGAAGATTTTCATTTTATAACACACATTATCAATGAGCAGTTAAAGTCACCCTGGGCGTTGTCTATTACATGTGACAATCAAATGGTTGTGTGTGACAATGGTGACAATTCAGTCAAGGTCCTCTCCCCTGACGGTGCTAAATTGATACAGTGTTTCAGTGCTCCAGACTGTGATGAGGCTCCGTGGTTTGCTATTTTCCACCAGGACAGATTTTTTGCGAGCTACGATGGCCTTGGGTGTGTCAAGGTTTTTAATAAGGAAGGAGTGTTCAGCTATAACATTGGAATGGAGGGGCCTCGAGTCAGACATTTAAGTGGCCCTTTTGGCTTAGTTGTCGACAAGTATAAAAATTTGGTAGTCTGTGACTACGAAAGCAAACACCTACAAGTATTTACACTGGATGGGGAGTATGTCCATGCTGAAGACCAGTTGAATGTGACGCCGTGGTCTATTGCCATGTCAAAGAAGGGACAGTTATTTATCACTGATCCAACCGAGAACTGTGTTCATGTTTTGGAATGACATTCTAGCTGTTTAAAGACCTGTGCAAACTGGCATGTTGGTGATGCTTGTAGTTAACATGTCAGTTTAACAAGTCTTGTATAAGTTTTGTAGACAAAGTAGAGGCCAATTTCTTAGGAGTGTTCTTTCTTCCCTGAAAAAAAAACATTTCCTTCAGTGGAAAAACTCCATTGCTTGTACAGATGAACTTTAGCCGTAAATTGATGAGTTTAACACTTTCATTTCCAAGCTACAATTCTTTGTAATGTTTATGTTCATATCTTTTTTTCTGTTATCCATGAATTGCGTTAATTTGGAGGAACGCCCCTGTTTTTCCAGGTGGTTGAGTCTCAGATATGTTCGGTTCGTAATCTCTGTATAAATTTGGACGCATATCTTCCTTTCTCATCACCAAAATCAGTTAATTTATATTTTTTTTAAACTGATAGGCAAATCAATAATTTTTCTCGCGAGTTTCCTTTTCGACCGGGCATTACAGCCTCATTCCTGATTGAACGATTACAAAGTCCATGCCGCGTCCATACTTTCCTCCTGCGCTGATGAAAAACATGAATAATTATAGATGTGTATGGTGTGCCACGATATTTTGAGTCATTCCTAAGGCTGTAGAAAATTTGTCTGAACAGGAGAAAACACTGAAATGAGACCTTACCAGAGTAGTCAAGGTTAGAAAACGGGACGAAAAACGCTTAGACACACCATAGTTAATTATGGACACACCTGACATTCTTGCAGCCGAGGAATTTACTATGAAACGACTTAACAAAATATCCATTGCAACAAGAGCCATTCCTTTTCCCGGTCAGCTCTTGTGAAAAGCAAGTTCTTGTAATCGGCTTTCTGGCGACCTTTATCTCCTTCACAATATATCACTTCTCCGTCCGGCCACAAACTTCCCTTCAAGAGACTCAGCCTCGCTTTCAAACATTTTGGCGGCCATCTTGAATCTCATATCACGTGCCCAAAGCTGTGAAACATATTATGGTCCATAAAACTTATTACCATTTTCCTTCTATATTCTTTCTCCATTTGTAAAGCGGAGTGAACTCGTTTCCCGCCGTTAGAGTTTCGGAACCCTTCTGTTGATTTACGCTTGTAGAGACGTTAAAACGTACCTTTCATTTCCAACACATTAATGGTGGCTGAAAATTATCAGTTCATGTTTTGTGAAAAGTATTTTGAGCGCATGTGGTCACGACAGCCAACAGCCTATCGGAAATAGTGGTGGATTTCATGTTCTTCTGTGCTTTTGGATTTATTGTGCAACGTTGTTAATAAATTGAGAAAGTTAAGTTCTTCTCTAACGAGAATTATGGCGGTTAGATCCAACTGAAAGAGTACAAAGTCGCCATCTTGGTTGACAGCCAGCTCAGACGTACAAAACGAAAGTTGCTACAGAACTTCGTGGATGGGCTCGAACAAGAATTATTCCGATTTCTACATTTCCTAATCTCTGATACAAAGACCTGTATCCTAGCGTGTTTGCTCTTCATGAGACCTACTTTTCCACAGTTCTAAAGGAGTATTTGATACACGGATTCAAAATGTTTTGGAAATTCGATTTGCACCCGAGCTCTGCTATAGACACGATGTTGACGAAAGAGGTGAGTTTGATTTTTGTAGTCGTTTTGCAGTCAGCTCGAAAAGATTTGTTTAATTCTGTATGGTTTTCTATTATTCTCCTAAATCGTTCTTTTACAGGACTGTACTTTGAGCGAAATATTGGACGAAGATGATGTGCTGCAAGAGACAAAATCGCAGAATAGAAAGTTGGTTGACTTGTAAGTAGAACATCTCTATGCATCGTAGAAAACTCAGACTTGTTCGCTCAAAAGGAGTTCAAGTCCGTCAAGGTTTCATACATCGACTTTGAACGCTGCTCGCGGACCAAAGATCTAAGTTTGTACCAACGAAAAATGAGCATTAAATAGTTATTGATCTTAACCGTGCTCGCCAAACGTCTCTTTGAAATAATTGCTGCAGATATAAATTTGCACGGGAAGTGAAACAATAATTGATCTTTGAAAATCATCGATTAACGTCATTAGGAATGGAGGAAAGAATATCATATCCAAATTTGCGAGGTTAAGATGAAAGCGCGGAGATAGTGTACTATAAATAGCCAACTTTCCATTACGTCTTTATACGGACTCAGGAAATCAATAGAAATGTGTACTTGTTGTTAGGCATCTCAATTGGCTTATTGATTACGACTTTTTTCATGGTCGTTGAGAAAAAAAAAACTGTTTATCTACACCGTAGCAGCTTCCTGAATTTGCCTAGTGTTGTGAAGAAATTTTGTGCTTTGCATGTGTGGGAGTGTTTATTTTTCATTTACCTCACACAGAATGTATTTTTCTTTTCTTTTCTTTTGAGTACCTTTGATTTCCTAAGCCTTGCTGTTTTATTCGAAATCTTTTGTATGTGGTGTTTCATGAAAACGTTACTACGTAGAAGAGGTTTCACGATGATAATGTCTTGTGTTGATCACTTAAGCATAGGATCTGTTAACATTTAGCATTCTCCTGAGTATAAATTGTAAATGACAAAGGTAAACATCTCCATGTGCTTAAAGGCATACTTTCACAATATTAAGTTCAACGTTCTAGTCTAAAATGTGCCTCACGAAAGTGAAACATTTTCAGTCGAGCACTCTTTACCCTAGCACCTATCAGTAATGGCACTTTAACATTATTGTCCATTTTCTTACATTGTCAGAGTTTTGTTGAAATGTACAGTTTGGCACAACCAAAGAAGATGTGAATAGGAATTATAAAAAAATCCAAAAACTGACAAATAAGTGAGATAAGATAATGCTAGTCCAAAATTTTAGGTTAGTTAAAAAATGTAGTTTTGAGTATGATCTCAAGGAACTGTTTCAAAAGCAGAAAATGTAGAGAGGAATAAGAGGTATACTTGCTAGTAGGAAATTGTACAAAAATTCTCCAACCACAAAAAATAAGATTCTATGAACACAAGTTTTCATATGCTGCAAGGTACATCTTCATGGTAGAACTGCATACTCAGAGTTTTTTATTGATCCCACAGCAAGAATTAACTGTATAACTATCCTCTACTGCGAGGATCGTGCATGATATGTAATTAACTGTATGGTGATATGGTAAATGGAAAAAGTATTTTAATGAAAACAGAGGAACACTCTAAATTACTCTCTCTAGCAACCCTCAGGGATGTTTATATCATTTTATCTGAATGATTCATTATGTGTACAGTGACATGTAATGTGTAGCCTTGTAAATGTTTTTACAATTTTTGGAATCATTTTAAAATTTACAAATTTACATGCAGTAAAGGGGACTAGTATAGGAGATAAATCCATATTAGTTTGAAACATTTTGTATAACCTCGTATCAGTAAACTGGTCTCTTAACAAAAAAAATTAAGAAATACAAATAATTTGATAGAAGTTTGGTAAGGGAATGGGGCTTGTATGGGTCCTATAAAAGCCATAAAGTCCTGATCGGGAGTTTAAAAATGCCCTTCTTTCAGGACCTGGAATGTAATGATATTTTTTCGAAGTGAAAGAGTATAAGTTACTTAATTAAAATACCTTTCATATAAAGAAAATGGCCATGCAAGAGTTCTGCCCATGCAAGATATAGGACCACTGATGTTCATTTTATTCTAGTGTGATGTACATTTAAGGCTGGGATAGTAGCACTAACCTAATGCAGGGCTCGACACTAACTTTTCAACTTACTAGCCAAGTGGCTAGTGACAACTTAGATGTTACGACAATTTCAGTTTGTTTACTAGCCAAACTGGCTAGTGGAAATCAAAAACCAAATCTGAATTTCTACTGGTCTGTGGCCAGTTGGCTACTGTTAGTATCAAGTCCTGTAATGAGAGTCAAGATACCCCTGTATTACATATATCTTATTAACCTAGCGTGAGGACCGTACTGGCCCCAGGTCTTGACAGTATGGACTTCGCTGCGCTCGGTCGATACAAAAAAGACCAGGGGCCGATATTCTTCCAGTATGGTCTTGAGCAAGCTTGGTTAAGAAGAGATTTATTATACGACTGAAGTTCAAAGGGACACAAGTGCAGTATCATTCGGGACCATTCGGGACAGTACCCGGTCCAATACTTAGAGAATATTGGACCAGCAATAGAGCATTCTGATTGGTTGATTTTAGTTATTGGCCCTCTGTCTGCCGGAGTCGTGTAATAATAATTTTTTATTTTTACCGCCCAGTTTTATCAGACCAGACATTTTGGAGGAGCTAGTGGAATATGTTTTACAACAACCAGATGACAATAAAGATGAAAGTGTAAGATACAAGTAAGTAAGCATCATCAGGTATTTCCTTGCAATGGGGAGCTATGTAACCGTGCTGTGTTTTTATTCTTGTAAATTTCTCAATATAGTAAAGTGTTTAAGATAGTACATGCGCTGGGCTGATAGATTATGGTATGTAAATATGGTAGGGACGTAATCCTTTGTGTGCTCTCTGAGAATTGTTTTGTAAAAGCAATAGAGGATTCTTCTGTCTTTACATAGCCTCCTTATAACTCTTGGGGATAATAGAATTGTCAAAAGTTCTACAAATCCTTGACAATTTGCTTGATTTTCTTGAATTCCTTCAACTTCTTTCATGTTAAAGTGAGGCTATGGAAACATGGAAAAAATCCTCTATTGCTCAAATAGTAATCCTAAGGAATAGCTGCAAATGAATTGATGGTATAAAAGATTTCTTCTCTCTCAAGGTCATTTGTACCAGTTTTATGCTGGGAAATCTCAGCACACTGGTTTTTTTGTTAGTTATTTGTTATTTAATAACTGTGGCTCATGATATGACAAAAATTACTTTGTTGCAGACATCCTAACACTGCTTGTGAAGTTTTGACAGCTGATGTATATGCAATCATTGATAGGTTAACAAGCAATGAGGTATGAAACTTGCAAGGGTATTTTGCTACAAGAATAAGTCACTCACTTTCTAAAACACTATAAGACAACATATTGATTAAATAAATCCCCTTAAATGTGTTCCACTTCTCAACTTCTCTCAGAAGTGACTCATGTCCATTTGAATTAATATTTACTATTATTTTATGGCTGTGTCTCACAAGGACTGGGAACTACCGAATTCACGAATTTGATTGGCTGAAATCGATATTGAAATTGGTCTAGATTTTCCCATCTAGACCGGCATCTAGACCGGTCTAGAAAGAAAAGGTACGAAGAATATAAAAAATTGGCATATAAGACACAGCCATATAATAAACATCTTCACTTCATTCGGTCTGTACTGGCAACCTTGGTCAAGATTCTCACATACAGATCTCCCACTAGGTTAATAAGAACTAATTATTAAACATTTCTCAGATATCTTGCAATTTAATAGTTTATCTCTTCCTTTGGATGGTGAATTTAAATTGATTTGTTTTAATTCCTTTTCCAGGATCTTTTAAACAAAATCTGGTCCTTTATGGAATCTGAACCTCCACTTAATCCCTTACTAGCTAGGTAAGAATTTTACTCTTGAAGAGTTTTTTTTTCTGATAACATTGTAATAATGATGACAACAAGGACCATTTTGATTACATCAGGGTCTTGTCTTAGCGGATAAATACACTTTTGAAAATTTCCATCAAATCAGTAGAAAAATTAAGAAAGGCATGTGTAATGTCAGTGTATAAAGTGACAATAACTCAGTTTCTAACTTCTATCTGAGACTGAGTAGGTGAAAAAGGCAGTTGCTTTGTCTTGGTCTTATCAATGATTCCTTTGCCCAAGGTGTAGTTCTGCTGTCAATTGGTCCCAAAAATCCATGAATGCCATAAAGTTTAGAAGTTGCATCTGAACTCAAATCTGCCTTTCAAGCACTGTTTTTGCTAATGAAGACTTTGAAGAACCTTTGGAACTTTTCAGTATTCTCATTTAATAACCATTTTTTTAGTTGTGATGTTTTTTGTTTCTCTTCCAGTTTCTTTAGCAAAGTTATGGGAGTTCTTATAAGTAGGAAGACATCTTTGGTAAGCATGCTTTCCTTTCCAACAATACAAGTGGTTTTTATATTTTGGTAGACTTACCTGACTAGAAGTGTTTTGTCTAAATCTCTTTTTACTATTTACTTTGTTTAGATGTTAGAGTACTTAAAAAGTAAGGAAGATTTTGTGAATGCTGTTGTGAAACATCTTGGTACATCTGCTGTCATGGATTTACTTCTACGATTGATAACCAGTGTTGAGTCACCACAACTGCGACAAGATCTGCTTGAGGTAGAGTTTGATATTTTAATTCTCTTGGCTTAGTTGCTTGGTCAGCTCAGGTTGTTTAGAGATTTACTGGGGTATGGCAAGGTTGAGGGTTCAAGCCCTAAACTGGAACAGCACTCAGGGTCTTGAAATAACAGAGGAGAATGTGCATATGACATCTTTCATGGTAAGACATTCTAGTCTTCTTGAATAAGAACAATAAACTGTAGCTACCATCTGCATCTTCTCTTCACTGGCTAGCAGGGGATTTTAAAGAACCCATGCACTGCTTGCATAGAGTAGAGAGTGTAATTCTCTTTGTTTTGGTCTGGTGTTCATGCCAAAATAGGGGATCTACAAAAAATGTTCTAGAAAATTTTTAAACTGCTCAATGCAGTCTGGTCAAAGTCCCCAAGAAGTGTTATGAAGTGCCGTGAGCTAGTGGATATATATGCAGGTGCTATAAAAATCCTTCATCCAAATCATTAAACTGTTGAAACACTTTCTTTTGGTTTCCTTTCTCTTTGACCTTGTGTGGGTTGCTATCTGTTCAGTTTTGACCCACAATATGTTTTAATAATTTGTGTCTTTTAGTGGTTGAATAATCAAAAACTTGTGGAGAGTTTGGTCTTATTAATAGATCCAGGAAATGATGAAGAGGTTGGTAAATCAACTATTTTTACCAGAACCCATTTGAAATTGATTGAAATTTTTTTAAGTGCAAAGATAAGTACTGAGGGGACCGTGCTATTTTTACAGAGATGTTGCAATGCAGCACAAAGCCTGTGTGATATAATCCGACTTAGCAGAGATCACATGTCACAGCTCCAAGAGAATGCTGATCAAGATCCTTTACTAGATGCAATTCAAAGGTAAGCTGTTTTGTGTGTTGATTCTTACAGTTACTTCCTGAATGGTGTGAAGAGTACATGTACACAGGTTTGGGTAATGAGTCTGAAAGTGTTGATCAGTTGTAAGTTAAACCCTCTCACCTGAAGTAGTGACTGGCATGTAATTTCTTCCTACAATATCACCCCTGAATCAAACATTAAGGAAATGATCAGCAACTAAAGAAGCTCTTGATTGTTAAGCAAATCAAATTCTCCTTGCCAGCATCTCAGGAAATGTAAAGAGAACAGTACTGAGATTATGCATTTTATAATGATGTTAGGGTACAGAGGGTGAAAGTTACTTGTCAGCCATTATAATCCAACCCTGTTCTCTCCAAATGTCTTCTACAACCTATGAAATGCTGTAGTCCTTTGTTCTACCAGCAACTTTATTGTGAATAAATCAATCTCTCAATATTCATAAGCTATCCAGTTATAGTTTTCTATTTTGCTTCTTCTTCTCTTTATGGTTTTTTATTTTTATTTTATTTAATTTGTTGTCATAAGGAGAGAGACCGTATCAGAGTTATTGGATCACATGCTTCGGGATGCTCAGCTTCACCCAGATGTGGCACTGGTCAATGGAATATCTGTTTTACTCACGCTTTTGGAAGTCAGGAAAGGAAGGTTCGTTTGCAAATATATGTTATCCTCTTATTTTATTTGGAACCTTAGCTTTATATGTAAATTACAAAAGAATTTTGATTATTTGAAATTTACATGTTTTGATGCTAATTTCAGTGGGGAAGGTGAAGAACCTATGACTGCTTTGGATGCAGAAAGGCTTGCACAAGGTAAGAGAATAGACCCTAAACTTTTGGATCTATGTTCTGCACAAAAGTCTTGTTTAAAAAGGATAATTTAAGAAGTAGGGTAGAAATGTAGAGTGACGTTATATCTCTCCAAATGTATTATTTACTTTTGTATGCTTTTTTTTTTGTTTGTTTTAGGAGTCAGTGCTACATTAGCTGCTCTAACACCCAGACTCAAAGATTTTCATCAGCTTCTTGTAGATCCTCCTCCAGTAAGCTGCATTGTTTTTTTCTGTTTTGATGTATTGTATGAACCTTTTCTTATTTACCTACTGCAACATAAAAAACTGTATCTACCATTGTTGGTTTCTTCTTTTGTCAGATGAAACCAATGCTTACGACTGTAGGAACACTAGATCCTCCACTTGGAAACGCTCGACTTCAAACCTCCAAGCTGATTGCTGCTATATTAGCCACTAATAGTGATACAATAAATGCTGAACTAGCTAATCTAGGAACAATACAAGTTTTATGGGTATGTATACTCTAGTCCAATGGAATTATCCTTGTCCCTTGATTATACCAGGGGTTACTGCTTGTTAAGGCTTTTAACAGCAATGTTAGTATTTTTTTTTTTTGGTTCTGTAGGAGTTATTTTTCAAGTATTCATGGAACAATTTCCTCCATACTCAAGTGGAGAAGTGTATAACCACAGTATTAAACAATCCCCCAACTGAAGAAGATGGGGAACAGAGCACTCCTTTAGTTGATGTTGTAAGTGGTGCTTCATTTTCAGTGACTTTAAGTGATAGCACATTTGATTGATTTTTAGTGTGTCTTGCACCTGCATGTGTTATAAATCAAGATTTGTTTCACCCTCTGACCCCTAAGAGGGACTAGCATCTAATTTCTCCTTACAATATCACCCTTGAATCAAACATTGAGGTCAGGAGAATAAAGGAAATGCTCACCAACTAAAAAGCTTTTGATTATGAAACAAATTCTCCTTGTCAGCCCCTAGGAAATGTATGGAGAACAGTATGGAGAATATGCATAGTGATGTTAAGGTGTAAAGGATTTGTGTCTCCTTTTGTTTTTCCAGTTATTTAAAGATTGTCAAATTATACAAAGGATACTACAGGAATGGGAGGATCATGATTCAGATAAGTAAGGGCACTGAAAGATATTTGATGATTTTAAGCTGAATATTGTGTTCTGTCAGTGGTGAATAGATCAATTATTTGCAAGTGGTTGATCAGGTAGATACTTGCAAATCCTAATATTTTCAATAACTAAGTTGAAGTAATTGTTTTAACTGTTAATTACCAAGATAAGTTTCAATATATTTTTGAGAATCTTTCCATAAAATCACAGGGAAGCGATCTTTGACTTTCCTGAGACAAGCATGAGTTCAACTACCAATGAGAAGTAGAGCTTTCTTGTAGGTAGTAATTTTCAGGTTACATATAGTGCCAATGACTGTGCACTTTGACCATTACCAGGTAGTAACCCAAACTGTGAATAGTTCAGTGTTCTCACTTACTCTAAGTATAACAGGTGAAACAAATTTTCAAACCAGAAGTAAGAGCAATACCTTCACTTGTTGAATTTTCAAGAATTTTAAGTGATTTTAGGCAGTCATAAGAGTTCCTACAGGTGGTAAACTTTACCAGATACCACCTCAAAAGGAGGATACTGTGGGTCCACAGGGAAACTTCATCCCAGATTTTGAACTCAAATTTTGATTTTATCATTTTGAAATTTCTCTCATAAAACTGCATTTTGCATCTGAAATGTTTGCTTTGGTACCAGTTTTTTTTTATTTTTTATGAATATTGGTTGTATAAGAAAATGTGTATGAGTGTATTGCTTTGTCTTCTTTTATCCAGATGTCAGACCAACCAAAGGAAAGGATATATGGGTCATTTAACAAATGTGGCAAACAGTCTTGTTCATAGTCTAGAGAAAGGGAAAAACAAAACTGCTCTTGATACAATTTTTGCAGGTAAGTTATCAACACAATTTTCTAGAATTTATCAACCACTACATTAGGTTGACTTAACTGTGATATTCTAACTAGTGTACTTATTTCCTCTAATTTCCCCTTATTAGAGTTGCCTGAAAAAGTGCGTGAAAAATGGAATGCGTTTGTCAGCGGGAAGTTAGCAAATGTCAACAAACAGAACTTATCAGAACTGGTAAGTCATTTCCTGTCAAGGATTACAAGGTTTTCAAAATTTTATTATCAGGACAAATATTTCCATAAATTTTGTTGACTTCCAAAGTTTTTTCCAAGCTATTTTCACTGACATATTGTCAGTTCTCAGAAATTTTACAAGAGTAGTTGTGTGTTTAAGTCTTCCTCATTATTCCCATAATTTTTTCATTTTGTTTTTCCAAGGTTGGACACAATTTTCAGTCCTCTTCAGAAGATGAAGATGATTTCAAACCTATGTCCTTTTTACATACAGAAAACTCTCTTCAGCAGGTAGAAATACTAGTGACAGTTACAAAGCTTGAGCTGCAAACAGTTCAAATAATGGACAATTTTTGAAGAAGCTTTCTACATGTCTTACAGGAAACACACTACACAGTACTAAAATATATTTTGCAAGTCACATTTAAGGGAGAAATTATAAAAATTAATATGCATGTAGGCCATTCTAAGGGAGGAAATTCTTTGGTACTAGGCTTCTGTAATTTTTGCTGCAGGCATTCTCAAGATACCAGATGCAGCAGATGACATCAGAATTTATGGATACATTTGGTCTGGATGAGGAAGAATTCCAAGAACCAGATGATTCAATCACGTAAGTCTTGCAAACTTATTTTGTTTAGTTTGAAGGGCAGGTAAAAGTAATATATTGTGCTCAAATATAATTGTTTAATTTCATTTGTGTTTCCCTCTTTCAGGGGACCATTTGACAGAATGGGAGATGTTGGTTTTGCTGTAAATGCCCAGGAAGATAATGTGAGTTGTATGCCATTTTTTCACTTAAAGGGAAATAGATGGAAGTGCAATGTGTTACTTTATCATAACTGTTGCTTCATTAAGTAGCACTGTAGAACTAATATTATCAAGGTCATGAGCCTGGTTTTTACAAGGGTATCATGGGTACTTGCTTCTCAGTAGAGTTATTGTGCTCTGGGGTTTAGATATGAGAATTGTATGGTTGAAAATAATTTGGATAGTGAAGTGATAGCTTGGTAAAGAATTGTACTTGCCTTGGCTAGTCTAGGATTGCAAATTGCTTGCACCCATTTTAAGTGGTGAAGTGTTATCTTTTATTGGTTAAAGAATTAATGTAAGACAGTGTATAGTTATAATTATAAAGTTGTTGTTGTCACTCTTCACAGCCCAATGCTTCATTATTTGAAGCTTGTTGTAATGAAAAGATTCAACAGTTCGATGACAGTGGAAGTGATGAAGAGGTATTTGTAGTTTCCTTCACAACAACACAGGTTTTCTGATTAATATATTTTTGAGTTAATTGGTATTTAAAGTTATCCAGCATAGGTTAGGGGGAATTTAGAGCAACTCCAATGATAGTTTTTATTTCTATTTTTTAGGATGTTTGGGAGGAAAAAGAACTCACCTTTTCATCCATTGCAGAGTCAAGACATAGGTATCGCATTTATTTAAATATAAACTCTCATTAGGGCTCCAAACTCAATTTTCCAAAAAGTTGCCTTTTGGCAACCTTCAATGGTAAAATGGTCATTGGTTTATATGATTTCTGTCAGTTTCCCAGCTGAGAAACATCCCTCTTTTGAAGTGAGCTTAATTGTTAGTATTAAAACTTAAAACCTCCCATATTGTAAATAACATCTTGAATTGCTCTTTAGTTAGACACCATACTTTGTACTGCAAAGTTTATGGTTAGACTGAAATGCTGCACACATTATCAGATGAAGGTTATCTCAACAAAATCAGTTGGACTTGATCAATACTCATTTAGGTTAATGCATACCTGGGATTTGCAGAATGGTCGGAGGAAAAGATGGGAGATACTGGCATGGCCACCAAAATGGTTGCAGCTTGGAGTGCTGCTGATCTACATTATAAACTTGTTACTACTTGCTGGAAATGTAACATTGATTGTTATTTTAATATAGTACCCTATCACCAGAGGGAGGAAGTGAAAGTGAGAGTAGTGACAGTGATGACGATTTGGAGTCATCAGCTCCCAAAGGTCCCAATGTACCATTTGAAAGTGAAAGCAGCCCTCAGGGACTACCGGTAAAACAACCTCCTGCAGCTGCAGATAATAAAATGGAAGTAGATCCCACTGATGGTAAGCAATTAGTGTAGATGGATCTCAAAACAGGCAATGTGGTGACTTAACATGGTTGCAGGCAGTAAACATATTTGTAGAAACTCGACTCCTCATGCGAAGATATCAGCATTTGCTTTGCAGTTGATCTAGACGACAAGATGGGAGATTTTGACAAATATTTATTTAGAATTGTGATTTTGCAAAATGTTGTGATGTCATTAAATTTGGTCATGGTTTTGATTACTGATGTACATGGCTCTTGTCAGGGCATTTGTCTCCTTAAGCTTTTTACTTGTCTCTGTACCATAAAACAATCAGAAATATTTGGACACTAGATTGTAGCAAGTAACTTAGTATCATTTTAACCGCCTCCCAGTTAGCTCAATTGGTTAGAGCGCCAGATTGTGTTGTGCGGGAGGTCAAGGATTCGAGCCCCGGCCAGACCAATAATCGTGGTCTTAAAATAAGTGAGGAGAATTTGCTACCTTTCTATAATAAAAAAATGGATAGATATTCTAGTCTTCTTGGATAAGGACGAATAAACCGTAGGCCCTGTCTCCTGCAGGGCTAGGGGTAGGAGACATTAATTTCCCACGCATGAGATTACTGTTTAGGGGATGTCCTCCTGTGGGGTGGGATGGGTGGGAATTGGCCCTGAAAAGCCCCCATGGGGAGTGGTCAACTAACATACGTATGTATGTAGTTTGTTAGTTTTCATGGGCAAATAAAAGCACTACATTCTGTAAGAAAATGGCTCACACTACCAAGTCAGTGCTATGGCACTGGACCTCTTTACCAGGATTATGGTTAGTCATTCATTGGGTCAGCACTTCTACAATCAAGATTGTAATGTATTTTCTTCAACAGGCTTTGAATTAAGTGACATAGGTTGAAATATTATTATTACAAAACACCATAATTTTTTTTTACCATCAGCATGGTCCCTTGCATTTGAACCTGAAGAGACAGCAGTAGATGAAGCTGTGTCAATGGATGCTTCAGATGTTGGCTGGGGAGACACACCAGCAGCAACCACAGATGACACAGGATGGGCAACATTTGATAGTTTTACTGATATCAGAATGGCTACCAGCAGGTCTGTTATTATAGAAGCTGTGAATTTTTTACTGAAAGTGTACGTAGTCAACCATACTGTTTTATAATCATTTTGCTATGTCTTAGTGTTGTTGGGATCTACTGACTAAAAGACAAGTTTTATGTTTTGAGCAGCAGATTCCCACTTTTAAATCACTTCAAACTTCAATTTTTTATTGGAAAGTATACAATGGTGACAAACTTTGGTGCATTTTAATTTAATCCATCAATCAGCTTGTGGGATTTTCACACTCAAAAGCTTGCTAACATTCCTTCAGATTTGATGAAATAACAAATACATTTGCATTGTTATCAGTGAACCAACTGAGGAAGCAGCTGATTCACCTGTTGCAATGGAAACAGAATCACCTGCTCCTTCACAGGCAGGGGCAGCATATAGTAAGTGTTGTTTTTTGCTTCATGACAGCACAGCTTGTGGCTTAAGTTGCATATTATTAAGTTTGGAACAGAAAATGTCTCTGTTCGCTGTTCACTTTTATTTCTGTTTTGATCTTGTTGGTGAAGACTTGTCTCTTCCTCGTTTTTCTTGTAGTAGTCAAAGAGGATTCCATTTCAAACAAGCCAGATGAGTTAAGGTACGAACTTATGATGTAGAATGGGCAAGTGTTATCCTTCTAATTACAAGATTTACTGATTACAAGATTTATATATCCCAGCAATCTACATGGTACATTTTCAGGAAATTTTCAAAGTACCTGTGTATTTGCATACCTATATCTTGTGCCAGTCTTTTTTTGTGTACCTGTATGACTGTCTCTGAATTCTTGGTGGTTAGTCAGTCTTGTTGAACGAGTAATTTTTCCACTTTTGTGTAGAACATATGGCTTGGTGTCCAGTGCTGAAGCTCTTGGAGTCACAACAGATGGAGATTGTGAGGAGTCTACAAGAAAGACAGAGCCCTCACCAGTCCAGGATAGAGCAGCTCGTTACAGGTTAGCAAGACTTGGCTCAAGTGTAAACTAACCAAAAACCTCTCATTTAGGAAAATAATCCTTTAATCCATGCAATAATCAAACTGTGATCTGAATGTATCCAGCCATTAAAATAACTATGGACTTTGAGAGACAGCAGGTTCCCAAAATTCCTTCTTTCTATACAGACTATGACAATCCATTGGCAAAACATTTGGATTGTAAATTGCTGGTTAAATTACTCATAGGAATGCAGGGCAGTGCTAGAAGGTAACCATGACCTTATTTGAATGTACCTTGTCAGATGGCTGTCTTCTAGAGATATTGTATACCCTGGAAATTGACAGACAAATGTTAAAACTTCACTCAACATCTTTGATGATAAGATACAAAATTTTCACTGTATTCTAACCTTGAAGTTGATGATCAACCTTCTGCTGATGATTACAAGGAAAGTTTACCGCTGTGATAAAAACAAAAATTGTTTGGTTGTACAAACTTTTATTTGTGTTTAGGTGTGAGGGTCAATCACTTGACAATTCAGCTCCACTAGCAACAAATGATAGTGATGATGATATTTCAGATGAAGAAACTGCTGGTGTGAAATGTGAGGAAGTATTTTCCAGGTGAGGGTAAGAGAAGGGAGTTAAGTGTAGCTTCTTTGTTTATAACAAGATCTAACAGGATGAGTTCTCTCAAGAACAGTATTGAAGTATCATTGGTACTTAACATACCATACAATTTTTATTATCCCCTTACTTTTTTCTTGGAATAGGAGATGGTCTTACTTAGAGTTGGAGCTTTTTGAATGGGAAATCTAATCTATATTTTTTAATACACTAGAAAAGATGCAGAGTGTAATTTGAGATGCATTAAAATGGTTATGTAGGAAGGTAGCAGGTTACCATGACAAACAATGGGCTGAAACCTTATGGATGTGGTTATCCACAAGCCATTCAAGGTTTACATGGGATGTAATGTTAAACTTTAGATCAAAATGAGAATGCAAATTAATAAGAGAATAACAAGCATGTTTCAGGCCACTTAGCAGTTGCACTTTGGTCCACAAATCAAAAATGGATTTTGCACATTATGTTTTAATGTTTCTTAATTTCATTTCTGTTAACACCCACTAGGGTAGAACAAGATAACCAAACTGAGGGCATTGTCCATTCAAACAATGAGGTTATGGTGAGTGAATGCGATGACAAGTAGTAGAATGCATTATAAAAAGAGTTTGGAAAGGTTGGTTCTAAAAAGCTCTCAAGACAAGGATCGAATATTCTTCATTGTGTTACAAACAGGTAGTGGTTGGATCCTGATTATTTCAGTGTTACACTAAGCTTTTAATGGAGAATGGTAAATTTACTAATTTTATTATATTTTTTTGAGAAAAATTAACGTGTATTTTTTTTCATGAATCTTGCATAGACTGTAAATAATGCTCATGATGATCAGATGACAAGTGCAAAACTGGACAATGGGCCTGTGGACTGTACAAAGGATACTGAACATCAGGGCTTAACAAAGAAAACTAAATTGGATCAGGATTCTAGGTACTGTATTAATTTTATTAATATCTATAACTGTTAACTGAACCTCTTATTCCCAAGAGAAATGAAGGAGAAAATTTTAAGCGGGAAAGGCTTTAATTTTATGTCATACATGCTTTAGCACTTGTTTTGTGTCATCTCAAGGCCCCCAGGGCTGTGGTCTAGGAGCACCCAGTGGCCCCTGGCACCTTACTTTTGTTCTTGGGCGACTAAACAATCTTAGTTTTTTCGTAAAAAGCATATGCTGGCACCCTGGATTTCCCAGTTTCTGAGCATTGGGCACCTTGTTCTAGTAGATAGGTAACAGACAGGGCTGCCTCTTAACTAATCTCATGTCACACCTGTATTGAGGCAGAAGTTGTCAACTAATAATAATTTGTGTTGTTTCAGGTCACCGTTAAAGGAGTTGGTTGAAACACAAACAAATCTAGTGAATGGTCCAGGCTAGATGTTCCTCTGGTTATTGTTTGTAACTTTGACAGATTTGTATGTTTATAGATGATGATGTGTAAAATATTTTAGTAATGGCTAAGTTTGCTGAAGGAACTTTACTCAGTAGGCAGGCCTCTGCATCCAACTAGGCAAAAGGTAATCAGAAATTGTGACACATCGTATTCTAGGATATCTTTGTACATGCAAAGAATTTTGTGAGCCATATTGAATTGGGTGCTGTCAGTTTTTTTTATATTTTAAGTTATCTGATTGAAAGTGACCTTTGAGGCCATGAATTAATGTCTTTTTTTCAGAGAAGTTTGTGTTAAGCTCAGTTGTTCAAAACATGACTGGAACACATACTGCCAGCTAATACTGGTCTGGAAATGCCTTGTACTCTCAGAGTGATAAAGATTTTATTTCAATACTTAATTATCCAGGTAGATGATGAAAAGTAAATCAATTGACTGGCAGATTTTCAGGTACAGAACCAAGTTTGGTGAAAAGCAGAGATAAAATGAATGCAAGATCGCAATATGAAATGGCAAATTCCAAGTGCTTTGAGAAACTGAACAAGAATGGGATGGTTGCAAATACTTAATTTCATGAGTATATGTCATCTATGTAATAATTTCAAAGATGGCAGGGAGGTTTGTTTCAAAAAATTACTGGTTACAATATATGTTCTTCCAGGCTTGATTAAATTTTGCAATAAAGGAAGTTTTGCCTTCCTTTCTGGTGAGCTTGGTCTCTCTGTACTTGCAAGAGTATTTTTTCCTAATTCTTTGTTTCATATTTTATAGTTAAGGGGAAGTGTCGTGATATATTGTTGTGAACTGTTGGACATTCAGTTATTGAGGGTTGAAATCTTAAGTTGGCATCAGAATTCTTTGAATTTTCCTTTGACCTTTTTTTAAGAAAATGGTAACAAAACTAACTTTTACTACAGACAAATCAGCTGAATAGTGTTCAAATCCAGCAATATTGGTTTAAAGAAATGTTTTGTGGTACTGAATTGCTAGAGAAATTTTTTTTTTCTTATGATGGGGGGGAAATGTTATAATCACAAGGACAAGCAAAGTGATGTACATAGTAATTTTTTACCCTTAAAAAGTTATCTTCCTTGCAAGATTTCATAGAAATCTTTTTTGTTTAAAGGCAGGCATAAGAAAAGCTCCACTACTGGACCATGTTGGTGGAAGATTTTTTCAAATCATTTTCACTGGCATTTGCGAAAACTTGAAAACCAAAAACAGCCATCTTGAAGAGTGATGCCATTTTGGACTATGTTACATTCACGTCATTGTTGCTGTCATTTCAGTAGTTATTCATTCGTAGTCAGCAGGGATTAAAATAGCTTATGTAAAGTATCACAAAATTTAGAATGACCAGAGATTAAGACTGGAATACTGACATTTTTCACCAATTTGACTGTCCTTTATGTGTGTGTGTGTGTGTGTGTGAGCCTGAAATTAATTGTGAGCCTGAAATTAATTGTCAAATTACCAACAAGGTGTGCCAGTGGTGGAGGTCTTCTGTAAACTTTTTTTTCAAAATTTGCTTACTCAGGATGATTGCAAAGCTTTTATACATAACATGATCGTGTATAATAATTATGAGTTGATCAATGGAAAATCTCTCTCAAACCAATTGAACATTACAATTTTACATTTTGTTTTTGCTTGAAAAGGGTATAGCCAGCAAACGTAACAATTTTATTTCCAGTTAACCTATTACTTAGTAAAGGATGATAACCTTTACTCTCAACTACCAATGCATGTACCAAAGGCTGTATTCATAATAAAACCTCTCGCAGTATTCAAGAGATGCACACCATCACAGTTGTTGAAACTATATTGTAATTTTAGTCAGTTGCCCCCTGAAATAAAATTAATCTTAAGTTGTGAACTGTTACATTGTTTGTGTATTACCTAATTGGCCATATATCCAGGAATGACAATCCTTTGTCAGTCCTAAAGGCATTTCAGTCTTGTTTAAGTTCAACACTCCAGGTATTAAAAGGTGTTCTTGAATCTTGCACTGTTTACTTGACTTCAGAATGTTCCCTTTTAACACAATTAATTACCTTATTTACTACTCCTACTCCACAACATACCACATTAATTAACCTGTTACACCTCAACATGATTACGCATATTCTCCATACCATTCTCGATACATTTCCTACGGTAGTGCAAAGGAGAATTTTTTGAACAATCTAGAGTCAGATTCTTTAGTTGGTGATCATTTCCTTTATTCTTGTGACCTTAATGATTGATTCAGGGGTGATATTGTAAGGAGAAATTAGATGCTAGTCACTCTTAAGGTCAAAGGGGTAAGGGGGGAGAGTGTAAATAAAGGTCACACATATTCAGTTTATAAGTCTCTTCCCCATGGGAAATTGGGACTTGCAAATCTCATCTAGTGGATTACTCATACTTTTGAAAAAAATTTCATTTGGGTTTCTTTCGTTATCTTTGGGAGTGCAAATAAAGACAGACAATGAGTGCACAGAAGTAAATTGACCAATCACATCAACCCTACTATGCAGAGACGTACATTTCGATTTTATAGTGTACCTGCATACTGGATTTAAGAAAGTGGTGCCATGGTTGGATTTTACTTATCATGATGATTGCTCCTGTATGCTGGGTGTATTACATTTGATTGTGAGTTAAGATTATTGCTCATAGCTGGAGAGGTTTACATCAAGACACAATGGATGCCAGGGCGTGGACTTGTAATATTACTGTTTCTCTTTGAGAGGAACCGTACACCTTGATTAATCAAGTCTACTTTACTACTTTGCCTAGCCACAAGTGAAGTAATCCTTGATGGTAGGCATACATTTGTCACGAGTGGATGTAGCATATTTCTCAGGGCACCAATGAGCATTATGTAGCAAGCCTCACACAGTGGAGTGCTGGACCATGAAATCTGAATATTCAGTGATTCTTTGTGGAAAACTTGAGAGTTTTTTCCTTATTCCATGCCCCCTCAAAAATGAATGACAACTTGCTTTATGGCTTTGAAAAGAGGTATTGACTGTGGAGAGGTCTCTAATAAGTCTTGGGCTGTCTTGTTTGGGTCTGGTTATAAAGTTTCAAAGGTTATTAGATGAGAAAAATCTTTCTGCTTGCTCCCACATGAAGAAACACCATGTTATTTTGCTTCTGAAGGTAAAGACAATAAAGGAACTCTAGCACTATGCAAAACTTAAGTTAGGATTTTTTAATCTTTGAATGAAAAAATAAGAACCTTTTTATCTTCATCATCTTAAAAATCATAGCAGCTGCTATAAAAAATAGAAAGAAACTGAACTGACCTAGATATAGGAAAAATTCAGAGGAAAAAGGGTAAGACCTTCTACCTCTACTTCCAAAATCTTTTTCCTGCTCTCAGATGCTCCATTCTCAATTATGTCTGTGTCATCACACGTCTCTAATTTGTGTTCATGAGACAAATGTTACATATTAAACATTGTAATTAATATACATAGCTAGAACACTTAAAAGTTTTAAAATCAAATTTCATTATTTCCATTTAAAAAATTATTCTATACTTCAGCTAGTCAAGAAATTATAGGTAATATAGAAAGCATCTTAAATCTTTTTTAATATGATAAAACTTTCTTATAAAGCTTGAAAAACCTAACATTCATTAATTTTTTTTATTAATTATAAGAAGAAATATAAAACCAGACAAAATAATTTAACCAAAATATTAATCATAAATTTCTCATATTTGCACCAAATTCAGTTATTCCAAGCAAAGATTTATGAGTTATTAAGAATCATTTGCTGACGTGTGAGAAAACTTTTTTTAAAGAAATTTTACTTTGAATGATGTGGTTGGTACAAAAGTGGTCAAAGTCCATATTCAATTTCATTAATCCTCTTGATGATGTCATCATATACCACGGATGCTGCATCCAAGCCCCAAGTGAAGTCTAAATGCTGCCATGCCGCAATATATTTGTCATACCACTTGCTTGTAAGCTTCTGCATCAAAATTTTCACATCACTGGGATCTGCTAGCCAATCATTTCCTCCATAGTAGAGTGCAATAGGCACAGTGATAGCAGAAGCATTGTACTGAGGGACAGTGGCCTTGAAAAAAGTAAACAATAGTTAAACTAAGACATGATACATGAAACTTCAGTTGTGAAAATACATTCATGAATGGTTGACTAGAGAAAAGTTTGATGTGGTTAAGAAAATTTTTACAAATAAGAGCTGTGGATAAATTTTATGATTAAAATAAATCCTTTGATGCTTAAGAGTGATTTGTATATAATTTCTCCTTACAAAATAAACCCCGAGTCAAACATTATGGCTATGAGAATATAGGAAATTATCACCAACTGAAAGAGAATTAAGCTCCTGATTGTTAATTAAACAAGTTGTCCTTATCAGCATCCTCCCAGATGTATAGAAAACAGTATAGAGAATATGCACACTGATGTTAGGGTGTCAAGGGTTAAAAGGACCCAATTTTACTAAATTTGTTGAACATGTTTATTTCTATTTTCACTTACAGTTCCATAATGTTCTTTGTTTTTCTCTGGGCTGCCATAGTCATACATTTGGAATTTACTAGACTTGTACAGCTAAAAGGAAAGACAAAAAAAAACAGTGTCACATCAAAAATCTTCCCTTTTTTCTTTACTGTAACCAATGGTTTTGCAAATACATGGTGGCAAGAGGGATTTTCCTACCTGGTTGAAATGCACTAAATTCTTGACAGATGTTCCGGCAGGAGTGTGTGATACATAAACTGGAAGGCGGGTCTACAAATATGGATATCGACATTGTCATTGATATATTGCTTCTGTCCAGTGGACAGATAGTATTGGCTGTAATATAGATAAGCAAATTGGACTACTGAAAAAAAAGATGCCTGTTCAAACCTCAAAAAGGTAATTGAGTTGTGTTTGTTGGGTAAGACACTGGACTTTCACTATGCCTCTCTCAGTCCAGTAGTTGAAATGTATACAAGCTAATAGTCATTGCAATCTGAAAAAGCACCTGAAGGTTACCTTGAAAGGATATAGAGGAAGGAGTAGCACATCACTCAAAGCTACAGAAACTGGGACATGCTCAGCCAGTTAGCTCACTCTAAAGCATCATTCTTTCATTGACTTCTTTATAAATGGAAGACAAATGCCTTGCACATTTGAAATGAAAACAGACTAAAAATTATGTTTTACCAAATTCAATTGTGGTACATCAAATCCACATAGGAGAAAGATCACACTTGAACAAATCAGCCGCAGCTCAGGTGGCTCACAAACATTTGTGGCCATCCAGTGTATAAAATCATTGGAAGGGAGAAAGTCACGCACTCCAAATATCACAAAAAGATCCTGCAAACAACACCGAACAATTCAGTTATAACGATTCAGTTGTATTAATAAAGAAAATAGTTGCAGCCTGGAAAAGTAAGTAGTTTTCTGAAAAGCTAGCTAAAACAAATGAATAATTCAGAAAAAGTTCTGAAAGTTTCCAACCTTAAGGGATGTTCTGATGTCTGACTCAAAACTTTAATTAGTGTGACTTGCATTGAAGGTCAAATGACATACCTCGAGCTCAGGAACATAATCTGCCAAAAGTTTTAGAGGACTCTTCATGTGACCTAAATAAGCAACAGGTCCTAGTCCAAACACAGCCTTTATTTTCTTAGCCAAATCTTGATTTCTTGATAACTCTGCAAAAGCCATAAGGCTTCCTTGTGAATGGCCAGCATAATACAGAGTTGTCTGCCCAGTTTTGTTGAGGATGAAGTTAACTGCGGTAGGAAGCTCATATTTAGCCATTTCATCAAAGCTACAAAGCAATTGTAAAGAAATTGGAACCAAATCAGTAGGAAAAAGATTTCAGAAAACATTTTAAGGGTGAACACACTGGGATGAATACATTTCGGTAAACACACAAAGGTGAAACTATAACAAATAAAAATACAGTCCTTATTCATCAATGTCCATGTCTCTATCTAGCTGGCCTGAACCTTAATTTTAAAGTAACTAAATTTGGTTGACCTAGGGGTTACTATAATGCAAGCCTGCAAGCCCTAGCCTTTTATGATGAGACGGAGCCATTTTTTGTGAGCCCTGGGAAAATAACATCCAAATATGGACATAATGCCTTTTTATGGTCATGGTCCCAGGTATTCCTTGTTTAAACTGCGGAAACTGAGGATGAGAGTGTGACAACTTGTCTTATCATGTGCTCGCTGATTGTAAACAACACAATTTTCTAAATATTGTGTTTTGGGAAGATTGCACAGCAAAGATTCCTGTCTTGTACCCTGTTCTCACATATAAATGCGCAGACCATTCGTGGTAGGCCCACACTAAACGATGTTGAGCATTTTCGCTCAAACTACGAAAACACTGGCAAAACTGTGACAGCTGACTAGCAACAAACTATGAAGCTGAGACAAACACCTCGCTCGAAGGTGGCACTAACAACAGCAAATTGGATAGGGATACTGACAGAAGCAACATGAATAGTAACGTTAAATATCTAAGCTTAGCTCTTCCGTTAAATACCTGTTTCTGTAATTGATTTCTATCGGGTTCAAAACTTGTAAAGTACGATTTGATATTTCGTACATAACCACTATTATTGTCGTGCAAGCACTCATGAAAGTTGGTTTGCTCTTTGCATAGAGTTACGAGTGCTTAGTAGAAGACATGATGAATACTCTTGATGACTGTGATCTACTAGAAAAATTTTCCAATATGACCAATGTACATGAAATCTCATAGCATTCACATGTGAGCTTTCTTGCCAGGAGGGAAAAATTGTATACCAGCATAAGTAATCAATGTAAATATTCAGGCAAAATATAATAAATCTGTAAATCAATATAATTTTTTATGTATTACTGTTTTATTTCTTATTTCTACTCACTGGCTTATGATTAAGTCATTTATCGTAATATTGCATTCTGATGCTCGGATATCACAAATTTCAAGGTCTAGTACAACATGTAATCATAACCATTACAATTTCCTCAAATGGCACATAATGTCCAGCTGCTTTATTTTTTACTAATTATTCTGTATAATTGGTAATTGGACAGTTTAATTGGACAGTTGGCTGTAATCGGACACCTGTAATCAGACAGTTGAATCAGCCAATCATAGTCCCCTTGGCTAAATCCTCCAATCACAGAGTTGATCACAACAACCCCTTTGCAATTGTCTGATTTTGTCAATCACTTGTAAGATAACACACCAAATTGGACTCCACTAGGTCTTACTACAATTATCAGTCTACAAATCTTAATTCAGGACACTTATGGTTTACCCTGAATATAAATCTTACGAGTTTAAACACACCACCCATCATCTCACAAAGAACATCTTACCTAAAATTCCAAAAAGCATCAGAATCCACCGAGAGATTGACATGCCGCCTACCGTATGTATTACCGCGGACATTTCCAAGCCATACATCAAATCCTTTATCAGCCAGTATAAACCCAAAGCTTTCATTGGGTAAATTTGACACCCAAGTAGAAGAAACATCCAGAAGTCCATGTTGCACCAGAATAACCGGTTTGGCATCTTCAGACGAATATGTTTCATGTCTCCCATGGGGAATTCTTTGAATGGTTATGATGTAGCCGTCAGGAGTTGTATAATCGTATTCTTCAGCAGGGTAGCCATTGTAAATTATCATTTGAGTCTAGAGAAAAACACACAACAACATTTGTCATGCACAAGACGAGGCAGATCGTGCGATTGGGGTCAAGGTCTGCCTAAGCTTTTGCTCTTATCCGGAAACTAAAATATGATTTAGTAATACAAACGCTTTGGAAAATTGATTTAGAGATTAAGTGCCTCCAAACCCTCCAATACTTTCATCATTCTCGATCGTAAGAGTTCGTAAAAGCTGAAGAATAAAGGAATGAACTAATGAAAGGTCATGATCAATTAAGCCACCAATAGTGATTGAGGAAGTCACTCCATCTACCTCTTCAATTATTTCTTTGTTTTAGAGGTGCGAAATGTAGAAGTTCTTAGAAGCCACTGGAAAGCAATTTCAATGTGATCTCAATTTCACATTCTTTGCAAATTACTCAAGTCTGAAATTCATTATTGTGGGCACTTCGCATGTGTTTTGACAGACAAAAAGATCAGCCCTTCGGGTTCACAGCGGGAGAGCATGCTAGCTCATCATCAAAGGTGAAGCGATTTCAAAATAGCGTTTCCCTCAGCAAGTAATGGTCTCTTATATTTCCCGAAATCCTATTCCTCGTGTATGCTTTGGGATTACGCAACACGACCCAAAGTTCATGGCCGCCATATCAAAACATAAACACACGCCCTTACCACGTTCATGTTTTCTTCTGGAAGAGGGACGACGGCTGAAATTCCTGTCCACAAAGATGAAGCCAAAAAGAAAAACACTGTCTTCTCAATCAATTGCATCGTTGTCCAGATTGGAAGAGATCTTTCTTCAAAAGTGCTCCAAAGACGCAAGCTTGCTTCGATAGTTTAGGAACAATTGATCTCAGCCCAGGGTCCTCGGCCAGACAAATCAAATAAAACTTTTGTTTCTCTTTCGTGAGTTTTAAGATATTTCTATTAGATTTAAGTCCGAAACGTTGACAGGGCCCACAGCATCCAAAGTACTGTACTTTCGCTTTCCTTGAATTCCGAGTAACAGGACTCACAGTGCGGTGTTTAGTTACGTTGACGTGTGATCGTCATGTGACTCGAGAGGCGTAAAGTGGGCGGGACAAAGGCAGGTCTTCACGTACTACGAAAGAATCGTAAAATAATGCAAATAACGACTTATCATGACATTGCCTAATGAATTAACGGGATTATGTCAAACAGTAGCCAGTATCTAACGTAGTTACTGACTACATTGTCCAGCAAGTTCTCTAAAAATCAGACGCTTTTTTCTAATGCGTTTGACGACCTAGGATAGGAACCTAGTTAGACATTAGTATGGCAAGATTTTTAAGTAAGTTGGAAATTGGCCAGAGTCCAGAGGTAACATTGAATAAGTTCATTATATCGGAGATATGATAGTAACACAAGAAAGAACTGTTCACTTCAGCTGCAACGCATTTTCTTAACACAGAAAACCTCAACTTTAGAGTTCTTTCTCCCTTCTCCCACGGTGTGACATTTCTTTGAGGTGAGATAACATCTGATACATAATTCTTAAGACAATACTTCTTTCATTTCTATTCTGAGGGGCTGACAAAGTCACATTCAACTGGAAAACTGTTCAACTGTAATCCAAAGATTACCCATGTCTCTAAAGATACAAGCTCCCACTTCATTTACCATCAAACACTTTTAACTACTATCATTGTGAAAATTCACCATTCAATTTTGCCACTTGGTCCTTTCAAAAAGATAACTTTCCTATAGAATCAAGTGTCATTTGATAGTCTCTGGTGAGTCTGGAAAGTTCCAAGAGGAACCAACAGCACTTCCCTTTTAAATTTTGGGATAGACAAAAAAAAAAAAAAAGGGACAAATAGTGATAAGGACAACCATGTGAAAGAGATTCAACTCTCTCTAATCACAGGACAGTCTGCAAAAGGCATTCAAAATGCACAACATCTTGATTACTCTTGTATGTTTTTACTGGTAAGTCTTTTACCAATCTATTACCATTGCTAACATGTGGAGACTAGCAGCATTAACAAATTAGCAACACAACATTTAGGATAAGAAAGCAACACGTTACTTTGAAGTTTATTCAAGACAAATCAATTGCATACAAGCCTGACTTTACACATATTTTAGCCCTTAAAGCATTTGCTTTATGATTCAGAAGCTTTCTCACACTGAATGAAAAAAACTAAATTTCAATACACAACGCATCACTGCACAGTTGTTGCATTGTAGGAGAAAAGTTCACTGTAAAATCCTCAAGCTTCCATGTCCAGACCCAGACCAATTTTGTGTCCACCTTGATTGAGATTCTTGGTGTCAATCAGTGAGGACAGAGTGAGCTTGATTCCATCACGAAGACGCTGGGTGTAGGCTGCACCCACTTGGCTGTTGTTGTTCACCTTAGCCTTTGAATGGGACAGAAAGTTAAAACTTGCTTTAAAAAAGTTCCACCAAACATGTGAGATATAGCCCCCTTAAAGTAATCAAGGTGTATCACCATGTCAAGCTATAAGGGAAAGGTTTTGGGGGATTTTAGCAGTCAAAAGAGTATGTTTCTAAGGGTGTGACTCTTCGTTTCAGTGCTGCCAAATTGTGCAGTAGTTTAAAAGTTTACCTACCCTAAAAGATGCATCTTTGTCTACATCATACTTGCAACCAACTTGGAATGAAGTACTACTGCTACTAGATGCCCAGTTAAGTTCTGCAGCAGCCTCAAGGTTGCTGCTAAGCTGAAAAAATGTTTGTGATTATCAAATTAGATTTTAAGGCCTCTTAAACTTTTTGTTAAGAGCTACACGTAAAAAAGATAATATACTTCTTGTGAAGGGCTGGGAATAGAGCTGTCTTTTTGTTGACTTTTCTATACTTTAAAAACTTGTTGTAGTTCCCTGACTTAAGTTTTTCATTTAAATATTCAAGATGCTACTTAGTAAACCAAATATACTTTTTTTTTGAGTTGTTTCATTTATTTTGCACAAAAAAGCATGCAATGTTTTGCAAATCATTAACTCCCAACCACTAGAAAAAATAAAATATTCTGAAGGGATTCTTTATAAGGTGATGAAGGCTCAGCCTTTCAATTAATAACAGCTAGTTGAATGCTTTGTAGTGAAAACCCAAAAAATAACACTACAAGCATAAACTTACCTTGTGATAAATTGATCCAGTAAATCTAGAAGCATCATTCCTGTAAACAAAAGATAATCAAATAACCTTATCAGATTCATAAAAGCGTTTGATCTTTCCTTATCAGATAAATCCTGGAGAAGTCCTGCCCTTTCATGATCCCATGTAACAGTGAATAACTTTACTTACACTGAGGAGTGAATGTGAAAGTCACCTCCTCGGTAACCAAAGGAAAAGTTGTTACCAATAAGTTTGGACTTGGCAGTGTCATAAGCAGCCTGATAGCCAGCCACCCAGCCTTCGTATCTGGAACCAAAAAAAAAAAAAAAAATTACATAAACAGTCATATGTATGTACTTCCTGGATAACAAAATCAAGTTCCAAAATCCTACTTTGGCAGTTCAAAACCTTTGATGGTTGATGGTCAATTGCAGTCAAATTGTTTCTGGGGTTCTAGCTAGATTTTGACCTCAAGATTACACAACTTTGAACACAAAGGCCATCAAAAATTTTTTTCAATAAAAGCTTTGTGGAGAAATATTACCCTACAACTGCAGATGCTTGAACAGTTGGTCCAGCAAAGTCAAAGTCAACATCACCAGTGCCATGGAAATAATCCTGCTTGTAAGCACTCTTTATCTTGGCAGATTTCTTCCTAAATGTCCATCAAGTTGCAATTAAAATGGCAATGAAACAGGTAAGTTGACATTGAATCCACATATAAATAAGTAACTAGCTTTGCTAGAAGATCATGCATGTGTGGCTTGATCTTTTTCTATTCTTAAAAAGTTTTAAGAACCAAATTGATATTTATTGTCCTTTGTGTTATACTGTGATCATGAAGACATGGTAAAAGACAATCAAATTGGACCTGGATGGTCACTGAGCACATTTTATACTTTGGTCACTGAGCACATTTTATCTTGGCTGCGTATTGTAATATTTTTTTTTTCTCTTTAATTGATGGAATTTTTTCCTTTTGTATATACACTGTTGAGGTTATAAATTTTGTAAATAGTGCATAACAATAAACTGTATCTGTATGTGTATCTGATGAAAAACCAAGAGAGATAATGAACTTCAACAAACCATTATTAGCTTGTTGACCTTCTCCTTTGATTTAAAGTCAAAAGCATGGTACAGCTAAACCATTTCAGGGTAAATGTTAATCAAATCACCCAATGTGGTTCTATAAAAATCCATAACTACAAGTACCACATGAAAGTTTAATAGATTCTGTAGAGGAATGTAGTCTTCAGAGTGGGTACACATAAAGGTTTACAATTATAGCCACAATGAAAGACAACAGTGCACAGTACTACAATCACCCGGTGTTAGGTGCAAAGCTTGTGTCAAATTCCAATTTGAGTCCTTTGGCTATCTGTTACAAAAAGAATAAAAAAAAATAATAGCTTATCCTATCAATACTCAGAGCTAACGTAACATGCATCATGACATATAGCCACATGATTAGAGAATTGCCAAATCAAATTCTCTACCAGAACAGAGGTATTACAAGCCATAGGATAAATCAGTGCTTGAAACTGAAAGTACCTGATCTTCTACTGTAATTTGTGAGGTCAGGAAATTGTCTGTTGTCCACTTCTCAGCCAAGGTAACACCTGTTGAATGCAAAACATTCTTTAATGAGAACATAGAGCAGATCAACTTAACAACATATGACATATGACCTCTGGCATGACATTAAGAATCACTCTCAAGTTACTAATAACCATCTGTTAGACTTGAGCCCATTTCTCTAACCCAGTTGAATCTACACTTACTTCACAAATTTAGCTAAATCTTTTCTAAGAGTCACATGAAGGTTTTCTTAGCCTGCTGTTAGGTGCTCTAACAGTTAGCTTACCATAATCAGCATATTTGTACTTTGTTTCCAAACTACCGAACACCTTTCCGGTGTCATTGTTAGATGAACCAGAAGTTATAAATTCCTAAAAAAACCAAACAGTGTATCAGCAAGTACATGTAGAGAAAACACTTTGCAACTATAGTAACAGTCGATAACTTTACAAGAGCTTAGGTTAGGTTAAAATTCAACTACATGCATATAGCTGCAATTTTCTTACCACATTGTTTTTTGTTTTTGTCTTTAAGTCAAGCTTGACTGATCCAAATCCTGAAACACAGAGTAACAGAAATTTGATGAATTTACAATAAAGCATGCTTTACTGAAGGTGACCAGCTAACTCATGTGACAATTTCCAACTTCCTTTTTACTTGACTATGTCTTACCATATCCTTTTCCAAAAACATCTCTAGACTCTTTACCAAGGTCATCATACTTTGGTGGAACAGACATTTTCTACGAAGTTAGATAAAAATAGGGAGACATCTTAAAATAAAAATTATATGCAACTGTTGATAAAGCTCTTGACAGTAAGATTAATCACTGCAACACTGCATACTAAGGAACAGGTGGAACTGTGATTCTATTTGTGATTACCAGGTAAGTCAATGGAAATTTTACTCCCTTAGTGTTTTTCCCTTAACCCATTGACACTTACGTGTAACACGTGCCGACGAAAAGTCAAAATTTTGGAGAAACCAAGAAGGCAAACACAATGCGCAGTAAATTTTTAAAAATAAGCTTTTCCGAAAAACAAGCTCCAGTGAAAGAGGACTAAGTAAAGAACTTATTTCCGGCGAAAAAACCGATAGGTGCATATTACGTTTTAACTCAAAAATCAAGATGAAAGATATAAAATCGCTAAATATTTTCGCATGTGTGAAAATAGGCATGTGGATCATATTTCAAAAGGGAATATGCAAATTTGTCCGTGAGTGAAGAGATCTCAAGTTTCATGGAATCTATCAATAGGAAGCAAGACTAAAATGGCCAAGAAATATTTCGGGACGTCAGATTTATTCAAAACAGTTTTTGATTTACTGTAATAAGCGAAAAACGTACGAATTTCTTACGTGTAAAAAGCCCACGCGGTAAAATTCATCATGCTTGGATCGTTGTTTACTTGCCTTCGTGGCCAGAAATTGCGCAGCGTTATGGTGAAAATTCTGAAAAAACTTCGATTTGAGGCAAAATCTTCTATTAAACTATACTTTTTGAACACATTGTTACTCAAACATAATATTTACCGGGCCATCGAATCGTCAAATTGTCGCCAGGCCCTGCTTGAAGTCCGAAAGTTCGGTTTTCACTTTACGTCCATAATTCGCATCGCCTTAGAGAATCGTAGTGTCGTTGACTTGAGAGCTTATTCTGTCACTTTTAAGACCTGGATATCCATTCTTTTCCAAGCAGAGTATTCTATA